TGAACATATTAAGCATATACATGTAATAAGCTGAACCTTATAAACATGCCATTCTTCTAAGTTAGAAATTGCTGAACATCAGCAATTTCATATGGCCTAGCCAATACATTCTCTAATTTTCACACATGCTATCATACTCTATATCCTGTTTTATAATTCTCTTTTTCTTTTGATAATGTATAGTGGCCATTTTTCCCCATCAACATGCACAAATCTATAGCTCTTTCTAAGTACCTGCATAGTTTGCCATTGCATGGATACACCTTCTTTAGTTAAACAATTCTCTTGTGATAGATATTTAACTTGTTCCATATTATAGTTGGATAATCACAATGACTTTTGTCTTCCAACCTGAAACTTCCACACTTCCACCTCCAGTCTAGAGCTCTGCCCACCCAAACAATGGGCATTTGGCTTTGTGGATTAGGTTTCTGTGTCTCTCTTCACTATTGAAATTGTCAAACACCCTTTTAAAAAATATAAAGTATGCAAAGTAAACAATATTATTAAATTTGGATATAGACTCAAGTTCATCCAAGTCTTGCTAATGTTAAAAAATGTCATGTTAGGGCCCCAGCAGGTGGTTAAGGGCACTGGACTCCCACATGGCTGACTGCAGATCAAGTCCCAGACCTGGTGGCTTGCTTTCTCACTTTCCTCTCTTTCTCTTGCTCTCTCCCTTCTCTGATCAAATTTTAAAAATAATAAAAATAAATCAATGAATAAAGTTGAATAAAATAATTTTTAAATGTCATTTTAATTGTAATCTTATAATACTATTGAAAAATCCTTGCACCAGAGAATTATTATTGATTCAAGGAAGAATTGGTTGGTAAGTGGAGTGTGGGAAATGATAGGCATGAAGGGAGTTTAAAGTAAAAAATGTGAGGTGTAAAATGTGACCTGGTACATTATTAATCCTAAGTAGACTTTGATAAGTTCAACATACCTTTCTCCTAAGATCAAGAATAAAGTTGGGAACCAGCAGTTAGCATAATAGCTATGTTGCTGGATTCCCACGTAGTCGACCATGGTTCGTGTCATGGACCTGGTGGCTTAAAACTCACGCCGGGCGCGTGTGCGTGCATGCCCAAGATCCCGAGAGGAGAATGGAGGAGATGGGATTGTGGCGTGACCATCCCCCCTGGGGGGTGATTTCTCGCTTTCTGTCTCTATGTCTCCCTCTGTCTGTCTGGCAAGTGCACACACCCTATAGTGAAAAAAAAAAAAAAAAAAAGAAGAATAAAGCAGCCCAGCCAGTTGTGTGGCTGACTCCAACATGGCTGTTTCCCAAAGCTCTGTCCTTCGTTGTCTTACACGGTCATTTTCCTATTTCTCTGTCCTCCCATGAAATCCATACTTCATTCAGGAAGGGCTGTGTATATTGCCAGAGGAGGAGATACCATTTGAGTTTTGGACTGGCAGATTGAAAAACACTTCAGGCCCATGTGTATGCATGTCCAAAATCCTGAGAGGAAAATGGAGGAGAAAGGATTCTGGTGTGGACATCCCCCTGGGAAGTGAGTTCTCACTTTCTACTTTTTTTCTCTCTCTCTTTTTCTCACTTGCTCTGTCTTCCTGGTGAATGCATATGTTCTATAGCAGGAAAAAAAAAAAAAAAAAAAAAGCAAGGATAAGACTGACCCAATAATGTATATTTCAAAGTAATTTAAGATTAGTGTCAGGCCAGCAGGCAGCATGGTGGTTAAAGGCACTGGATTCCCAACACAGTTCAAGTCCCAGACCTTACGACTTGCTTTTTCATTTTGCCCCCTTCTCTCTCTCTGTCTGGTCAAATTAAAAAATAATAATAACAAATGGAATTAAATAAATAAATATTATTTTAAAAAATTAATACTATCCAGGGCATGGTGGATGGATCCCACATAGTTGATTACATGGTTCAAGTCCTGGACCAACGACTTGGAAAACACAAAGCATGTGTATGTGTGTGTGTGTGTGTGTGTGTGTTCAAAATCTAGAAAAGAAGAAGAGTGGAGGAGAAGGAATTACAGTGACCATTCTCCATGGGGTTTGGGGGTGTGTGCTTTATGACTTTCTCTCCAGCAAGCATATATGCGTTCTGGCAAAATTAAAACAAAACAAAAAACCAAGATTAAATTTCAAATGTTTCACTATAAAAAGGTAGGTAAGTGAGGTGATGGATATGTTAATTAGCTTGATTTAATTATTTCACGTTGTATACATATATCACAACATCACTTGGTGCCCCATACATGTATATAATTATAATTTGTAGACAAAAAAATAATAGTAATTTTAAAAGAGCTTTGCCTGCCAAACAAAACAGCCTCCGTTGGCATTCAAGGGCCTTTGCCTTCAACCCCAGTGAATCGTCCCAGCCGCGTTTCACCCGGCACAGGTGTGCCACGCTGCTGCTCCTGATCACACCACATCCATCTTACTCAGGCTCTTCTTTCTGTTTGGAATGTCCTTCCTCTCAGCTTGTCCTGGGAAGCATGCCCAGAGTCATCCTCTACCCATTCTCAACTCTCCCTCTCCACCATTTCCCCAGAGGTAGCATAATGCGATAAGGAAAGCATATGCTTTCATGATTGACACGCTTGCATTTGGACCTCCAGCTTCTCTAACTTTTTGCCACGGGAGCTGGGGCAATTACTTGAATTCTCTTAGCTTGAGTTTTTCTCATCTGAAAAACGGAAAGTAACCTCTGGCTATGCCTAAACATTTGGGAGGGGCACGTAGGTCCATTGCTAGAAGGAATGTGTGTTTATTAGCAGACCACACATGTGTAGAGGGTGTGCATAGCATTTCTTTATCCTTCCCTTGAGTCACTATGAGCTGGATCCTAAGTAGAATTGGACTGATCAGTCTTTGTGAAGTCCACTCAGATGAGCTTCCCATAGCTCTGGCCTTCATTATCTTTCACAGTCATTTTCCCGGTTCTCAGTCCTCCTGTGGAATCCATGCTTCTTTCAGGAAGGACCGTGTACATTGTGAGAGGAGGAGATGTCTAAAGGAAACACATACCTTTTTGATGCTTTCTATCATTATATCTTTTTTTTTTAATATCTGTGTACTCTGTAGTAAAACTAGCCAAAAGGTAAGGAAGTAAAAGATAAGAAACAGCTAAAGAGCGAAAGAGAAAAAAAATTACTATATACTCTGAGAGGTATTAGCAGGTTTATCATGTTGCGGAATTGGAAATAATATCTGTCAAGTACCTGATATATTAAAAACATTAAAAATGAGCAGTGAGGAACCAGCAAGTGGTGTGATGGTTAAGGCACTGGACTCCAATATGGCTAACTGCAGTTCAAGTCCTGGACCCAGAGCTTGAAATTCACACTGGGCATGTGTACATGTGTTCCCAAACTCCCGAGAGGAGAATAGGGAAGGGATTGCAGTGTGGTCATGCCCCCTGGTGGGGGGGGGTGATTTCTGTCTCTGTCTCTGTGTCAAGCACACATGCCCTATAGCAAAAATATCTCAAAAAAATGAGCAGTGAACAAAGAATAATCTAATATTCACAGATTCTCCTCTTCTTGTGCATGAAGAGGGAATCTGTCTTTGACCAGTCTCCAGCTTAAGGCAGGGGTTATGGAGAAGGAGGAGAAATGAAAGATGGGAGCCTGGTTTACAGCCAGAGCAAAGTGGGTTACTCAGGAAGAACCTTTGTTTAGTGGAAAGGAGTACTACCAAGGGCTATGTTTGACAAAGTTCGGGAAAGTTTTGAGAAAGAACATCTGTGGTACAATGTGGTTTGAGGAAGAGGGAGGAAGGCAAAGACTGAGAAAGATGATTTTAAAGCATTTTTTTAATGTCATGAATGTAAATGCCATTTCCAAAAGTCTAGAAAAGATCCTAATTGATTTTCATTACTTCCTACTTTGTGCTGAGTTGTACTCAGAAAGTGGCTTTATCCAGGTCTATAAATACTAAATATAATGTATCCTTCTCTGCAGTCCAGATCATCTCTCTTGAAGTTTTAGTACAAGATTGACAATATTGTAGTATGCCATGCAATAAATATGGTCTTGCCTATGTTCATCTCCTCTAAGAGTTTATAAATAGGCCCCTTGGGGACCAGAAGGTGGCATAATGGTTAGGTCCCTGGACTCCCACATAGTCCACCGAGGTCCGGGTCTCAGCAGCTTTAAACTCACACTGGGCACATGTGTGTGCATGCCTAAAATACTGAGAGGAGAATGGAGGAGAATCCCCCCTGGGGGGTGATTTCTCACTTTCTGTTTTTTTCAGCAAATGCAGGCGTTTTTGTAGCAAAATTCTCTCTAAAAATAAATCAAACGGCCCCTTGAAGACAGCCTTTGTGTCTCCGTTATCTGTGTGTCCTGCCCCAGTTCCAGCTTCTAGTTACTGAGTTAGTAAAAATTGTACAATACAAAGTAGATATTAAATTAATGTGATGGGGTCTGCAGCTGGCGTGGTGGATAAAGGCACTAGATTCTCACATGGCCAAGTCTCGGACCTGGCAGCTTGTTGTCTTGCTTTCCCTTTCTCTCTCTCTCTCTGTCTCTCTCTGGTCAAATTAAAGTAATAATAATAACAAATGAAATTAAATAAATAACCCTTAAACTAACGTGAAATGAATATATAAGTGATGGGTGCAACTGAACTTCAAAAGCGATTTCTACAGCAACGTCTATGACAGCACACTCTCCCCCTCCAGTCGTGGGCTGACCATCTGTCCTAGTCCTCACTTTATCCCCAGCACTTCCACTGTGACAAGTAAACAAAAAGCTCTGAAATAACCTTCGAAACGCCGGGGCATCAGAAAGAGAAGAAAGCGAAACAACCCAAGGCTAAACAACAGGGAGCTGCTTTGGTGACGCTGCTGAACAGAAACGCAGTGTCCAACTGCCCCGGGGTGGGTATAATCCTTAGGGATCCACCCCGGGAACAGCGGGTGATTGCCTGCGGCGGCCTCTCCTCCGCCGCGGTAGGGGGCGCTGTGGCCGGGCGCAGCCGTCGGGTCCGCGCCGTGCCGCTCTCTGGGCGGGGTGGGGAGGCGGCTGGAGGACCTGCGGCAGGCCCGCTTCGGCCGCTGCTCCGGCCTGGTTTCTTTTGGCGTCTGACTGTGCGTTTGGTCGCGCACCATGGGGAAGCGGGACAATCGAGTGGTGAGTACCCAGCTGAGAAAACAGAGAAGCGACCCGGCGTCGGTGGCGGGAGAGCCGGACTCCTCGCCCTTCTGAGCCGGGCCCGAGGGCCAGCGGCGCATTCGGATCTGGGGCCCGGAGACCCAGCACCCTCCGTCCGTCCCAGATGCGCGTGCGCCCGCGCACTCAGTTGGCGCCTTCGGGTCCCCAACTTTCTTCTCTACTCCCCACACCCCGGCGGGACCCCGGCGGGATGCTCCTCTGGCCCTGCTGGCTGGCTTCCCTCCCGCACCCCGGTGGCGGTGCCCACCATTTAGAGCTGCGAGGGCTCGGAGAAACCTGTTCCCTCCTGTTAGTAACTCCCGAGTCTGAGGCCCTTGGAGGAGCCTGGACTCGCCCTCTCCTCGGGGTCGCCCATCCCAGCTCCGCGTCCCTCTCTTGCGCACCCAGCTAGGAGAGAGCAGGGAGGCCTTGGACACCGCCCCTGCACCCGAGAACCGGCTGCACTCGGGTTTCTAGCCACCGGCGGGCTCCCGTTATGAGAACGGGGTGACCGTATTAGACTTCGTCTGTCCTGCGCCCGAGACTGCGTGGCACCTAGAAACCCTTAACGCGAAAATATTGATAGTTGGTTTTGGGGTCCGACACAGACTGTCATTGCTGATCCCTCAAGAGTTATGTGAACTACTAGAAGTTAACTTTTCTTCTTTGAGCTTTAGTTTCGTTGTAAAAAGGGATCATTGTTAGCCACAGGCAAATAGTTGAGACTACAAAAGGCGGGATGCCTGAGAGAGTGCTTGGCCTGAAAATTAACTCTAATAAAGGAGATAAAAGAGAGACAAATAACTCATTGCACAGAGAATAAAAAATAGTATGTAATAGATATCCAAGGTTGAGCACATTCAGAAGAGAAGGTACTTTTGACAGGCGGAGATGGGAGGAAAGCAGCCCAGATCAGGGGGACGGGTTGGGTTTAGTTTGGAAAGCCCAGGTTATGAATTACATTGGATAAGCAGTAAATACAAGGAGATAGCAATAAATTTAGGTTGCAGCCTGATAGTCTCAAGGTTTGTCTGTGACTGTCTTAACCACTGAGCAACAAAATGGAAAAAATACTGCTTAGGGCTAGCTGATGGCATGGTGGTTAAGGCAGCTGGATCCCACGTGGCTGAATGCACAGTTCAAATGCCGGGCCTGAGGTCTTGAGAAACACCCTGAGTGTGTGTGCATACATGCCTAAAATTCCAAAAGGAGAGAGAAAGGGAGGAGAAGAAATTGGGGTGAGACCATCCCTGGTGGGAGGGTGTTTTTCTCACTTTTCCTCTTATCTCTGGCTGCTCATATACCCTCTGGCCAATTTTTTTTAAATAGTGAAAAGTGGGACCAGCAGATGGCAGTAATGGTTACATTTCTGGACTCCCACATGGCCAACTGCTGTTTCAAGTCCTGGAAGCTTGAAACTTACACTGGGCATGTGTGTTTTGGTGCCCAAAATCCTAAGGGGAGAATGGAGGAAAAAAGATTGCAGCGTAGCCATCCTCCCTGGGGAGTTATTTCTTGCTTTCTGTCTCTCCAGTGAATGCATGTGCCCTTTTGCAAAAATCTCTAAAGAGAAAGAAAGAAAACTTAAGCTGGGACCAAATAAATAAAAGATAAAGTAAGACTAAAATTTAGGTGATCGGACCTTTAATTTAGCACATTATAACTCTTGGTTTTTTTATTTTTTTATTTTTTTTATTTTTATTATCATCATAATCTTCTTTATATTACATTGGATTACATATAACTTTACAGTGTATTACATTGTTTTTTCAAAAGGGAATGCCATGCATGTCAGTCAGTACAGAGACATTAATCTCCCCACTTCAACATTCCATATCTTTTCTGTTTTCCCCAATCATTATTTTTATTATTCTAATTATTTTTATAAAACAGTCAATTGCTATTTCTCGTTTTGCTTGTAAAAATACTTTGCCCATCATGAAATACTTCTCAGACCAATCCAGTTGAGAATACTATACATGTCATCATCAACAGTTAATAACCCCTATCTGTTTCTCACTAACGTCCTGTCTCTCTATTGTTCACTTGCTATCTTTCTCTATCCTCTTCTCTTCACTTACCCCATTCCACACTGTCCTATTCTCATTAAGTACCTTCACTGTGTTTATGTCCTCCGAATTTTTGCTCTCTATTATAGGTAGTATTCCATAGAGTATATATACCACCCTTTTTGAATCCATTCATCAGTTTGTGGACATTTAGGTTGGTTCCATGTCTTGGCAATTGTGAATAATGCTGCAATAAACATTGATGTGCAAGCACTTTTCTGACTGAGCATTCTCCTGTCTTTTGGGTAAATACCCAGAAGTGGGATTGCTGGATCAAATGGTAGTTCTATTTGTAGATCTTTGAGGAACCTCCATATTGTTCTCCACAGTGGTTGAACTAGTTTACATTCCCACCAACAGTGTAGGAGGGTTCCCACTCTTGATTTTTTTTAAGACTTTTTTTTTAAGAGCAATCTTAGGTTCATGACAAAATTGAGAGGAAGGTGCAGAGATATCCCATATACCTCCTCCTCCCACACATGCATAGCCTCCCCATTATTAATGTCCTCTGCAGAGTGATAAATTTGTTAAAAACGATGACCCGCGAACCAGCAGTTAGCGTAATGGCTATGTCGCTGGACTCCCACGTGGTCGACCGAGGCTCGAGTCCCAGACCTAGTGGCTTAAAACTCACGCCGGGCGCGTGTGCGTGCGTGCCCAAGATCCCGAGAGGAGAATTGAGGAGAAGGGATTGCGGCGTGGCCATCCCCTCTGGGGGGTGATTTCTTGCTTTCTGTCTCTAATGTCTCTCTCTCTCTGGCGAGTGCACGCGCCCTATAGCGAAAATCTCTCCAAAAAAAAAAAAAAAGAAAAGAAAAGAAAAAAAACGATGACCCCATTTTGGCACATCATTATCACCCCAAATCAGTAGTTTACCTTAGAGTTCACTCTTGGTGGTGTGCTTTCAGTGGTTTGGGAGAAATGCATAATGACAGGCATCCACTGTGGTAGTACCATACAGAGTAACTTCATTGCCATGAAAATTGCTCTGCCAAGTCATTGCTTCCATCCTCCCCCAGCCCGAGGCAACCACCATTCGTTTTATTCCACAGTTTTGCCATAACGATTTTGAGTAACAAAATGAATATTTGCTTCTAAAAATGTTGGCAGTTTTTGAGAATGTCTTAATAACAATTCTGGTTCTTGATGTTACACTCATAGTTTTAAAGATGATAGGATTACTTTTCATGCACATGCAATTAAATTTCAGGTTGAACAACTTGTTTTAAAATAGGCTTTATTTTTTAGAGCTGTCTTAGATTCACAGTATAATTGAACAGAAAGAGTTCACATGTACCCCCAAACGTATACTACCTCTCCCCTTTATCAACAGCTGGCACCAGAGTGGTACATTTGTTAAATTGATGAGCCTACACCGTTATATCATCATCACCCAATTTACATTAGAGTTCACTCCTGGTGTACATCTTGTAACAGGTTTTTAAACTGAATAGTTTAATCCTTGGTATTTGTAAGAGGTTTTTTTTAAGTTCACAAAGGCCACCCTTTGTGCCTCTTGTTTTTCAAGTTTCCTTCATGTTCTCTTCTGTTACTTTATGCCCTCTAAAATAGATGTATTCTCTAGATAAAAGTAGGTACTCAAAGTAACAAATGAAATTCTGCACTTTCTGTCCTTAGCAATTTTACTGCATTGCTCTTTTATACCTGCCCAGGAATATATCCCCTTGGGCCCAATTTGTCATCCTGAGTTTCAGAAACAGATCCATTTCTGTTACCTAAACTCTTGTAGCAGTTTATTATAGTTACATATTTGTATGAATCTGATTTTCAAGGTCATGGTATTTAAAATGATTAAGTCATAGTGCAGTATCTCTAGAAATAGCACAATTTTTATCTATTTTATTGTTTTTTAATTTGTCAGAGGACATGTGCACTTGCCAGAGAGAGACACAGAGAGAAGGAAAGGGAGAGAGCACCTCAGTGGGGTGTGGTCATACTGCGATCCCTTCTTCTCCATCCCTTCCTCCCACTGGGCCTTAGGCATGGAAGCATGCTCACATGGACACACACACACACAGCCAGCTCGTGTCTCAGGCAGCTGGGTCTAGGACTTGATCAGTGCAGTTGTCCATGTAGGATCCAGCCACCTTACCCGCCAGGCCACAGGCTATTCCCATATTCTCTGTTTTACTAATGCTTAACTATCCCACCACTTTAACGTTATCATTAGAATTTTACCTTGTAAGATACTGATTTTTTTTTATTTTAAAAAACTGTCATATAGGGCAGCAGGTGGGTGACATAGTACATAAGGGGCTGGCACATGGTTGACCATGGTTTGAGTTCCAGACCCAGCAGCTTGAAAATCACACTGGGCACATGTGCATATGTGCTCCAAGTCCCGAAAGGAGAATACTGTATGGCCATTTACTGGGATGGGGGTGGGGGGTGGGGGGTTGAGTCTCACTTTCTCTTTTTCTGTCTCTGTGTCTCTCCAGTTAGCGCACATTCTCTATGGTAACAACAGCAAACTAAAGAAAAACAACCCTGTTGTGCATAGGGAAAAAAATATAGTTACTTATGATCAAGAGCACAGACTCTTGGTAGGACTAGCAGTTAGCGTAATGGCTATGTCGCTGGACTCCCATGTAGTTGACTGTGGTTTGAGTCCTGGGCCTGGTGGCTTAAACTCATGCTAGGCGCGTATGCACATATATGTGCCCAAGATCCCCAGAGGAGAATGGAGGAGAAGGGATTGTGGCGTGGCTATTCCCCCCTGGGGGGAGTGATTTCTCACTTTCTGTCCCTCTGTCTCTCTCTGTCTTCTGGGGAGCACACACACCCTATAGTAAAAACCTCTCAAAAAAAAAAAAAGGCACAGACTCTTGGGGTCAGATAGTGGCACAATGCCATGTGATGTAAGATCCACTTGGCAAGGTCCCAGGTTTG